CTGCCTGTAATCCCAGCACTTTGGGAGGCAGAGGTGGAGGCGGAGGTGGATCACCTGAGATCAGGAGTACAAGACCAGCCTGGCCAACATGGTGAAACCCCATCTCTACAAAAATACAAAAATTAGCTAGGTATGATGGCGGTTCCCTGTAATCCCAGCTACTCAGGAGGCTGAGGCAGAGAATCACTTGAACCAGGAGGCGGAGGTTGCAGTGAGCCGAGGTCATGCTATTGCACTCCAGCCTGGGCGACAGAGCAAGACTCCATATCCGAAAAAAAAAACTTCCTCTTAAAATCTGCAAACATCATCTTTTATTCAGGGACCTTAAAAACAACCAGAGCTTCCAGCAGCATGTTAGAAGGAAAATTTTAAAAAATTAAATAAACATAGGGAAAAAAAAACCCAGAGCCTTAGGCCAAGCTGTAAAGCCCATCTGTTAGAGATATGAGATGTTTGCTGCTATATTCCTAACAAGATAAAAAAGTCTAGTGTTTAAAGATGGCCCACCAGAACCTAGCACAGGTCTAGCTTTGCTATGTCACTGACACAGATGACAGACCAAGGACTTAATTTTCTTTTTTCTTTTTTTTGAGACAAAGTCTTACTCTGTCACCCAGGCTAGAGTGCAGTGGCAAGATTTTGGGTCCAAGTGATTCTCCTGCCTCAGGCTCCCTAGTAGCTAGAATTATAGGCACCCAGCACTGCACCCAGTTAAGATTTTTGTATTTTTAGTAGGGATGGGGTTTCACCATGTTGGCCAGGCTGGTTTTAAACTGACCTCAGGTGATCCACCCACCCAGCCTCCCAAAGTGCTGGGATCTCAGGCTTGAGCCATTGCACCCAGCCAGATTTAATTTTCAATTCTACCAAACTGAGATAATGAGCCCCCAAATCCCTCAGCATTTACCTTTGCCTCAAGAAGAGGTTACTGACCTCTATAAGGATTCTTTTCAAGAATGAGCTACCAAAGAATAACCTTACTTCATGCATAACACAGCTGTGAGACTAGACTCCACCTCATTGCCTTAATATTTGCTTCACACAGGGCCAAGCATGGTACTTTGCACATAGTAGGCACTGAACATTTATTGGACAAAGAAATAAAGTTAAAAATAAATCTATAAATACAAAGAGCATACTTTTACCTGGCTCTTTGCATTTATAGGTTTAAAAGGCTTTTATCTGGCTTTTTGAGAATAGAAGGGATGATAGGCAGAAGAGAGTCTGCTAAACTCTAAAGATAAAAAGGTAAGGCTTTTATAGACACACTGACACTGGGAGAGCTTATTCTTTCATTCATTCACCCAACAAATATTTATTGAGCACCTATGTACCAGGTACTATTCCAGGTATTGGAGACCCATAGTAAGAGAGATGGATAAACTCCCCTACCTTCACGGAAATTATATTGAGACAAAGTAGTCAAAAGCATAGGCTTTGGAGTCCAGCTTTTGAATCCCAGCTCAATCAGTACTAGAGAAGGTAGGAGTGTAGTTCACTGCTTAGCTTCTTCACCCTAAAAATAGAACATTCCTAGCAAATTAGTTCTAAGTAGAATGACAAAAAAATTTAATGGAGAATAGTACCTATATTACGGCATTATTTATGAGGATTAAGTAAGAATCCATGTAAAGCAATTAGCAAAGTACCTGGTACATAGTAGATTTTTAATAAATTATGTACTCTGAGCACAGCTGTGCCCAAGTTAGTCCTATCACATTCCTGTTTGTTTCTTTCAGAGCCCTTATTTTGGTTGGCAATTAACCTTATCTGCTTGTTTATTATCTGACTCCTGCACTATTCCCAAGTGTTCAATGTTAACCAGGTGGCAAAGTTAACTAGAAAGAGGAAACCCACATAATTACTCTAGAAGCCCCCTAACTATGGATTAGATGGAAAAGAGATGAAGGGTGCTACACTAATAACAACCATTTTCAACCAAAGCAGGATTCTGGGCCTATTTTTTTTTTTTCTGAGATGAAATCTTGCTCTGTTGTCCAGAGCTGGAGTGCAATGGCATGAGCTCAGCTCACTGCAACTACTGCTTCCCGGGTTCAAGCAATACTCAGCCTTCTGAGTAGCTGGGATTACAGGTGCGCGCCACCACATCTGGCTAATTTTTGTATTTTTAGTAGAAACAGGGTTTCACCATGTTGGCCAGGCTGGTCTTGAACGCCTAACCTTGTGATCCACCCGCCTTGGCCTCCCAAAGTGCTGTGATTATAGGCATGAGCCACCACACCCAGCCATGCTGTCTTGTTTCTTACCTGCTAATTACCCAGCTGAGCCCAGGGGCGTTTATAAGTGGCCTCAAGCCCAGTTATTGATTTTGTTCCCAGAGGCAGGGAGGGCTTGAGTCAAATCACCCTAATTCTCAGGGGAAGGGCAGCAGTAAGCATCCCCGGTACCCTGTAATGGCCCAGGCCTACTCTTGTCCAGCACTGCACCACCAAGATGTTGAACTTAAAAATACTATGTCTGACCAGGAGGGACCTGCTGCCTAGAACTGCCATTCTGATTCTTGGAGCTCATATACAGACACATTAGCAGCCATGGGGCAGGAAGAGATGTACCAATGCAATCGAGACTAATACTTGCTCACACCCTGACCAAAAGCATGATGTCCCAGGCTCTGCCTGCAATTCTACCATCCTCTTCCATCTTTCTCTCTTATCAGGTCTCCACCCTCCCGTGCCCCAACCTTTGTACTTAGATTCTCCTCTGCCAAGCCCATTCAGACTGTGACTGGTAGGAATGTTGTGCTTAGCTTTCCACTTGAGTGTTTATCCAAGAAGTTGTCCCCTTTCAGGTTATGGCCTCCATTCCAGTGTACCACAGCCTATGGGGATGCAACCCACTCACCCTTGGGCACAGAGTGGGCCTCAGTGCCTGGTCTCTCACTTGCCTGAGATCAGACTCTAAGTATCAAGCGCAAAGCCATGGTGAGGTCTTACTTATAGCTAAAATTAAACAAGGAAATGAGGATAATACTAGTTGGCATCTAGTGCATGCTCACACTGTGCCAGGCACTGTTCTAAGCCCTTTCTAAGTACAAACTCACTCATTCTGCCCTACCTCCGGTCCTGTTATTAACTGACTTTACAAAAGAGAAACTGAGGCTTAAGGAGGCTGAGAACTCAGCACTACAGGAAAAATAAAAATAAAATTTAAATTAAAAAAAAAGAGGCCAGGGACATTGCCCAAGATCACAAGCCAGAACATGGCATAGCCATGATTCAAACTCACACTGTCAGATTCCATTTCTCAGCTCTGATTATGCGCCTATAATGCAGAAAAATATGAATATACATTCAGCCCCTGTCCACAAGAGGCCCACAACCCAGCAAGGGAAGCAAGCACAGACACTGAGTTTTAGCCAAAAAATTTAGTTTTTCAATTCACAAATCATGGCTTTTTTTATGATTCTCTTCATAAAACAGATATATGTACAATATCTACTGATGAACAAAACAAAACTGACCAAAACCAGAAGTACAGGACAGTTATATAATCTCTTAAAACGGGAAGTGACTCATTAAGAAAATATTTTCTCATTCTTATATGAGTACTAATGGCTAAAAAGGAGAGGACACTTATCTACAGCTGAGGAGACAACATTTCTCACATCTAACCAAAAATAGGACATGAGCAGGCAGGATTATATCTGAAGTCCTAGAAAATTTAGTCTTATATTTGCTAATTCGACTTTCTCATAGCCTCTCTTCCCATAAAACTCCCCATGGTAACATTTTAAGTAAGTCTAAAAGACAGTTCTGACTCATCTTAAGAGAATGTTGAGAAGCTCTAAAGCTGGAAATACAACGATCGATACTCTTAAAGAAGAGCTAAATAATTAAATAGAACGTCATTCCACTTTTCTAGGCTCTTATTATTCTCTTTTGATGTATCACCAGTGATTCAGTTTGAGTCAGACATCCAACAACAACTGAGCTAAAGAATCAACTCAGATTGAAGCAATGGTGACGCACAGATAGAAGAGACTGAGGCCAACAACCAAAGCAAAGGATAGCAGAACTGAAACATTGCTCAGGAAATACCCAGAGCTCTGTAAGTGAACACACATTTATCACATCTTTAATGTTCCCAGGAAAGCTTTTGTAGTCTATCTAGGTGAAATGATAGGGCATGTGATAATATCTGAAGCCAGAATGCCTTCCATTATTATCAATGTCCCTCTGGATTCCAGCACTCCTCCCTTCTACAGCATCCAAATAAAAAGACAAGACTAAAGCTCACCAACTACCATAAATGATGTCTTTGTGCTAGAGACACTGTTACGTGTTTCTCAAACCCATTTCATTTTCCTCCTGACACACAGCTAATTTCTCCACGTCCACTACAGTTAGATGGAGCCACGTGACTGAGTTCTGACCAATGGAATGGGGTGGAAATGATGCACCTTTAGGCCTGGTCCCTAAAATTTCTTATGTGATCCTCCACACATTCTCTCTTCCCTTATCTGCTAGCCAGATGCAGGGAATTCTACAGAAAACTCCAAGACCTCAGAAGATGATGGAGCCATTGAATGGCCACATGGAACAAAGCTCCCCACTAGCCTGTGACATGAATGAGAAACAAGTCTCTATTATAGTGTTGAACCACATATTCTTTTTTCTTTTTCTTTTTTGAGACAGAGTCTTGCTCTGTCACCCATACTGGAGTGCAATGGCATAATCTTGGCTCACTGAAGCCTTGATCTCCTTGGGCTCAAGTGATCTTCCTGCTTCAGCCTCCCATGTAGCTGGGACCACAGCTATGCACCACCACACCAGCTAATGTTTAACTGGCCTCAAGAAATCCTCCCATCCCAGTCTTGAAAAGTGCTGTGATTCCAGGCGTGAGCCACCACACCCAGCCTGAAGCAGATTGTTGCACTGATTTGTCATGGCAGCTGGTGCTGATCACTCTGATGAATACAGCTTGCCTGTGCCATGATCTCAATGTGGGGGAACCAGTTAATCTGCAGCTTCCACACCTACCTGTCTCATTGCCAATGCAATCGATTATCAGGCAGATTCCTAGGGGCTTGCTCTTCATCTTGTATCTCTCTTCAGGCATGCTCTGGAAAGGAAGGCAAGAATTGCTAAAGACTCCTGATACTGCTCTGTTTCTATAAGGTCCCACCCATATGCCATCTCTTCTTCAGGATTTCCTTTGGCAGGTGAGTCACTCAACAGACACAGCCTGAAATTTCCCATTACGACAAATGTTTCCCATCAATATCAAATTTTTTCTCTTTTAGGGTAATATGCTTAAGTCAAACACATTATTTTCATTTTTATTTAATTTTAATGAAAATCCCAGTTTCTTTATTGGCTTTGTGGAATAAAGATAATTTGAAAAAGAGAAAACATGAGTCATCTGTCTCCACAGTAACCTGAAGTTATATAAGTGGTATCTTCCCAAGTACAAAGGGAGGCCTTTGATTGCCTCTGCTTACAAAGAGGTGTCAACTTAAGAAAAAGCCAGAACAAGTCAAAGTTCAGTGAAGTATCACTGCTGACTTGTATGTTCAGCAGTCACTCAGCTGAGACAAGGGGTGCTATTTTGGAATTTTCCTGCATTTTCCAAAGTCCACTAATGCAATCCACTTAAACATCTTTCTCTTTGTTATTCAGGGTTCCCTTGTATGGAAGTTCTCAGGAGAACAACACTCTTAGCATCCCATTATCACAAAGAATTCTTAATGGACAGATATTTTTAAAGAAGTCAGGGTTCTCCACAGCTATGGAGATACTATACCAAATCAGATCATTTATTCTGTACCTGAGGCAAAAAAGCTTCTGATTCCTGAATGGATGTCTTCACTGGTTCTTCTGGGGGATGAGAGAGACAAATCATTTACAAAGCTGAAGGAGAACTAAGTCCACCCCCACACTGGCTGAGTTTCTTTGTATCACAACTGTCCTCCCTTCCTATTTTCTTCAATTATGTCTTCTTTCCCCAGTTATACTTGGCCCCAAGGTTCCAACCTCACATTGAATAAACTGACATAAGAAAACACAAGTCCCAGTGCTACCAGGGGCTATCTAGAAAAGCTGCTTAAATGGCAAGTGAAAGAAGGCTCTCCCCTACCCAGCTCTAGGTGAAGAACAGGTGGCTGGTGAATTTTTAACTTAAGAGTAGAATCTAATAACCTCACCACCCAACAATACTGATAGCTTTCCTATATGTGCTGAAACTGTTGACAATACCTAAAGGGAACAGCCTTAGTGCAAAGCAAGGAAAGCTTATATATGTTTGCTAGTTATAAAACAGATGGCAGTGTTTTCACAGTCCAGCGATACTGGAAGACCATAAAATAAAATGTCAATGGCAAGACAGTGACAATGGGGGCAGTGAGCCTGGCAAATGGAGGTAAGCCTACAGCAAATTTTGCTAGACAAAAAATGACTTGATTAGGTTAGGGAGGTGGAGGAACCACCAGTTTTGAGCCGAGATTGTGCCACTGTACTCCAATCTGGGAGTAAGCCCCTTGGGTAAGATTGAAGCCCTCCATCGCAGCCCATCAGCCCCTGCTTCCTGGAGTTCAAAAACACAACCATGTGCTTTATCAGTGTAAGACTGAGTCTCAGCTCTCACTTCAAGAAGGACTCAAGACAAGCAAAAGAAGTAAACTTTTGCTGGGTGCAGGGGCTCACACCTGTAATCCCAGCACTTTGGGAGGCCAAGGTGGGTGGATTACGTGAGGTCAGGAGTTTGAGACCAGCCTGACCAACATGGTGAAATGCCATCTCTACTAAAAACACAAATATGAGGCCAGGCACGGTGGCTCATCCCTGTAATCCCAGCACTTTGGGAGGCCGAGGCAGGTGGAACACCTGAGGTCAGAAGTTTGAGACGTCTGAGCAACAGGGTGAAAACCCGTCTCTACTAAAAATACAAAAATAAGCTGGGCATGGTGGCACAAGCCTGTAACCCAGCTACTCAGGAGGCTGAGGCATGAGAATCACTTGAACCTGGGAGGCAGAGGTTGTAGTGAACTGAGATGCACCACTGCACGCCAGCCTGGGTGACAGCACAAGACTCTGTCTCAAAAAAAAAAAAAGCTTGGTGTGGTAGCACTTGCCTTTAATCCCAGCTACTCAGGAGGCTGAGGCATGAGAATCACTTGAATTCAGGAAGTGGAGGCTGCAGTTAGCTGAGAGTGCACGACTGCACTCCAGCCTGGGTGACAGAGTGAGACTCCCTCTCAAAAAAAAAGTAAACTTTTAAAAAATGATCTATAGGATCAAGTGCTAACGTTTTAAGACAGAAGACAGAGATCATGTGGGTTGAAATGACTCGTCTTTAAATTGCATGTCTTCTTTCCTTTTTAGGAAAGGGGGGATATCATCTGTAGAGTATCCAGATTTATTAAATGGGCTATAAGACAAGAACTTATTTACCTTTTCTCTTCCTGCTGCTAGATATTTGGTTTAACATGGTTCGTTATTATGGTTGGATAAATGTTCAACATAGCCTGGTTATAGCTCCATTCCATTTCAGTTATAAACGTCACATCTCTTAAAATATAGCCAAGATGATGACGCTGATGGAGTACAATGGTGTTCAAACTTAGATAAGCTAATTCAATAGACAACTAGAAATGCCAATGAGTCTATCTAACAGTTTAGTTTTTATTTTGAGAACTTACTTAGACTATGTAAAGGAAATGGCCAACTCTAAAAATGCAACATTTGTACTAGAATTATCAAGCATTTATAAAGAATGAATATAAAGAGAAACTGGCCTTACGTTGAGTGCCAAGTTGTTCCTTAAGTCTTTGTTCTTTACTTCTCCCATTATGGAGCTAAAATATAAAGAAAAAGGTCACACTTCTGGTTATTTCAGAGGCACACAATACATTACACCTCTTTAAATGTCTCCATAGAATTCTTAACCCAGGAAAAAATTAAAATATCATCCCCACAGTTAAATTATCTAAGGAATAGCAAGAGCTGTTAACTTCCCAAATCCCATATTACATTATCAAAGAACAAGGAAATTCTGCTTTTAAGATGAAAATAGGCTGGAGGTGGTGGCTGACACCTGTAATCCCAATACTTTGGGAGGCCAAAGTGAGTGGATCATCTGAGGTTGGGAATTCAAGATCAGCCCCTACTAAAAATACAAAAATTTGCTGGACATGGTGGCATGTGCATGTAATTCTAGCTACTCAGAGGCTGAGGCAGGAGGATCACTTGAACCCGGGAGGCAGAGGTTGCACTGAGCTGAGATCATACCATTGCACTCCAGCCTGGGTGACAAGAGTGGAACTCTGCCTAAAAAAAAAAAAAAAAAAAAAAGAGGAAAATATAAGGAAAGTGTAAATATGCTAATCTAGCATATTAGAATGTTTCAAAACAGCCCAATAAAAGCTGATGTTATAGTATAGTATAGTTGCTATAATAGCTCCAGGTTAGGATAAGCTGTTAGCACATGAGATTGACATTCCACCTGTTCCTTCAACATAGGGGCAAAATACAGCATGGTTCAGAGTTGGATTTTGCCAGGCGCAGTGGCTTACACCTGTAATCCCAGCACTTCGGGAGGCCAAGGCAGGCTGATCACCTGAGGTCGGGAGTTCAAGACCAGCCTGACCAACATGGAGAAAACCCATCTCTACTAAAAGTACAAAAAAAGCCGGGCATGATGATGCATGCCTGTAATCCCAGCTACTTGGGAGGCTGAGGCAGGAGAAGTGCTTGAACCCAGGAGGCAGAGGCCAAGGTAAGCCAAGATCGCGCCATTGCACTCCAGCCTCAGCAACAAGAGCGAAACTAAGAGTCGAATTTCTAGGCCAGATTAGACCTGGCTAGGAATCCTGATTCTGCCACTTATTAGCTATGTAACCTCGAGCAAGTTATTTAACTTCTTTATGTGTGTTTCTTCATATGCTAAATAAGGATAGCAATAATACCTACCTTATAGATTTTGCATGAAGATTAAATGTACATAAAGCACTCAGCACAGTGCCAAGCACACGCAAGTACATAATAAATGTCCAGTTTTTGCTTTTCTATCATTATCTAACTACACATAAGCAACATATGGTCTTGATTCTGGGGAATCAAATATTCTTGATAAACCACTTCTGAGGGCTAGAGTAAGATTAATCAGAGAATGAAAGATTGAACCGACCCTTTCTCTTCTCAGATGACAGGTCCTATGTAAGGTACACATACCACATGCTGTCAACCCATCTGAGACACTCAGCTTTCAAATGACAGTTCTTCTCTGAAGCTAACCTAGCCAAAAGAGAGAAGTACACTATCCGTTAAGCTGTGTCACTAGCTAAGTCTGTGTGTCTAAATTAAAGAAAAACATGTTAGTTGCCTTTTTCACTAATAATCAGTGACTTAGCCAGACGCTGATCATATCAGATAGAAATTGGCCCCGCGCATAGATGTGTATTCACTTTTACATACTATTAGAGAGAGGTAACATATCAAATCAAAAATGGATTTTAAAAGCATTATATTGTTGCCATACAATTTTTTAATTCTTTCTTTCTTTTTTTTTTTTGAGACAGAGTCTCAATCTTTTTTTTTTTTTTTGAGACAGAGTCTCAACTCTGTCGCCCAAGCTGGAGTGCAGGGGTGCAATCTCAGCTCACTGAAATCTCTCCTGCCCAGGTTCAAGCGATTCTCCTGCCTCAGCCTCCCCAGAGTAGCTGGGATTACAGGCACCTACCACCACACCTGACTAATTTTTGTAGTTTTAGTAGAGACAGTGTTTCACCATCTTGGCCAGGCTGGTTTTTAACTCCTGACCTCGTCATCCATCCGCCTCAGCCTCCCAAAGTGCTGGGATTACAAGTGTAAACCACTGTGCCAAGGCCTTAGGGTCACATATTAATTATAGGAAATTTAAGGAGAAATTAATATGCAGAGCATATTGGCTCACAACAGGCTACACAGCAATGAATATTTAACACAATATTTAAAATATGGCAGGTTTTTAACTAAGAATGACAATATAATTTATATTAGACAGACAATAGCAGAGAAAACTCAGAAAACCTGGAATGGAATTCTAAATCTGCTTTTTCTCATTGTTTGGTATTACAGAGACTCAGAAGAACAAAAGGAAGCACATTTCATTCTTTAAAAAAAATATACACTAGGCTAGGTGCAGTAGTTCATGCCTGTAATCCCATCACTTTGGAAGGTGGGGGCGGGCAGGAGTTTGAGACCAGCCTGACCAACATGGAGAAACCCCATATCTACTAAAAATAAAAAATTAGCCAGGTGTGGTGGTGCATGCCTGTAATCCCAGCTACTCGGAAGGCTGAGGTAGGAGAATCGCTTATACCCAGGAGGCAGAGGTTTCAGTGAGCTGAGATTGTGCCATTGCACCCCAGCCTGAGCAACAAGAAAGAAACTGTCTCAAAAAAAAAAAAGTATGCTATATCTAAGCTATGGCAGGAGGAGTATATAGTTTATTATATACATCATCGTGCAGTGAAAGGAGTACGGGCTGGGCCCAGCTCTGCTAGTAATTACTGGTAGACAATCACTTAATGTTCTTTAGGGCTAAGTTTCCTTATTTTGTTGATGAAAGGGGTTGGATAATAATTCATAAATCCATTTTAGCTCGGAAACTGTATTGCTTAGAAGTGTTTCTTACAGACTTATTCTCCATGAGAAAGGGTCTCACTCTGTCACCGGGGCTGGAGTGCAGTGGCACACTCTCAGCTCACTGCAACCTTAACCTTCCAGGCTCAAGCAATTTCTACCACCTCAGCCTCCCAAGTAGCTGAGACTAGAGGCACACCATCATGCCCAGCTAATTTTGTATTTTTTGTAGAAATGGGGTTTTGACACATTGCCCAGGTTTGTTTTGAACTCCTGGGCTCAACCAATCCACCTGCCTTGGCCTCCCAAAGTGTTGTGATTATGGGCATGAGCCACCACACCCAGCCAAAAGCATTTTTTTCCTTCTTTTTTTTTCAGGGGCTTTCCGGCAAAAACTGAAAAGCCTGCTAGATAAATTCTAAAACAACTGTTAACACTGCCAAAAGCATGTCTAATTTAACAATGAAATTGTACCCCAGTCTAAGTCCTCAGTACAAACTCCACATACCTTTATATGAACACGAGGATGAGAGTACACCAAGATTTAACTTCTTAAGATAAAAGATTAACCAAAGAACAATTCTGATACCTTGTACTAAGTACTATGAACACAACAATCAAAAGTGACTATATGATACTTATGCTAATGAACCCAAAAAAATCTTTTTTTCATTACTCAATAACAGAATAACTTTTGCTGAAATCATTAAAATTAGCTCAGTAAAAAAGAAAATGCACAAAGAAGTACAAGGATATTTATTTTATAGCATTATTAGTAGTAACAAAAGATCGGAAACAACCTAAACATACAGCCACAAGAAAGGGCTAAACACATTATAAACATCTAGAAAATAAAACTAATCATTCAAAATAATGATTAAGTAGAAGCAGTTCCATGTTAATCATATGGAACAATTTCCAATAATTTTCAGGTCAGGACAATGGGCACAGGACGCTAGCATTTGTACAAGAGAAAAAAGCAAACACAAAATACATGTGTAGACTATCTCTGGATAGTTACAGGATGAACTAGTTCACAACAGCTGCCTTTAGGGAAAAGAACTGGAGGTCAGTATTATAGGAGTAGCAAGAAGGCATACTTTTTTTTTTTTTTTTTTTGAGGCAGAGTTTTGCTCTTGTTGCCCAGGCTAGAGTGCAATGGCACAATCTTGGCTACTGCAACTTCTACCTCTTGGGTTCATGCGATTCTCCTGCCTCAGCCTCCCAAGTAGCTGTGATTACGGGCACCTGCCACCATGCCTGGCTTATTTTTGTATTTTTAGTAGACATGGGGTTTCACCATGTCAGCCAGGCCAGTCTCTTAACTCCTGACCTCAGGTGATCCTTCCAGCATAGCCTCCCAAAGTGCTGGGATTACATGCATGAGCTACCGTACCCGGGTAGAAAATATACATTTTTTTTTTTTTTTTTGAGACGGAGTCTCACTCTGTCACCAGGCTGGAGTACAGTGGCGCGATCTTGCCTCATTGCAACCTCCACCTCCCAGGTTCAAGCGAGTCTCCTGCCCCAGCCTCTCGAGTAGCTGGGACTACAGGCACGTACCACCATGCCCAACTAATTTTAGTATTTTCAGTAGAGATGGGGTTTCACCATGTTGGCCAGGATGGTCTTGATCTCTTGACCTCATGATCTGCCCACCTTGGCCTCCCAAAGTGCTGGGATTACAGGCGTGAGCCACCATGACCACCAGAAAATATACTTTTAAAACTTCCTGTAGTACATTTAAAAATCTTTTTTCCATAGGCATGGTGCATCTATTTTTATTTTTAAAGTTACATTTTCTTTTTTTTTTTTTTTTGCCAATCAATTTGAGCTTATGAGGTTGCTCAGGTTAGCCTTGAACTGATGACCTCGCCTTCGCGAGCGCCATGACCTCCGGCGGGAGCCACTTTGGACCCCTACATTTTCTTTTTTTAAATTACAATTTCAAGTGAATAAATGAACAGTGAAAAAAGTCCCATTATCCAACTGTATATAAATATATATGTATATATGTGTGTGTGTGTGTGTGTATATATATATATATATATATATCTGTACAGATACAAACCATACAGATGCAAACCCACATAAAAAAGAGTCTAGAAGGAAATATATCAAAATATTAACAGTGATTATCTTTGGGTAGTAGAATATAGATGATTTATTTTCTTTTATATTTCTCTGTAGTCTCCAAAGATCTCAATGAACATGTATTAGCTTTGAAATTATAAGAAGTTACACATTTTTAAAACAAGTACATGTTTCTATCACAATTTTTTCAGATATTAAATAAATTACATGCTGTGAGACTATGTATATTTTTATTAGAACCCTGAAGTGGTTTCATGCTGGGATTCCAAATGCTTGCTCCAGACTCACCCTGAAGTTATTTGAAGGATCCTTGAAACTGTTTTTGATTGCTGCTTGGAGAACATTCTTGTAACTTGTCCCTGCTCCTTGAGCTATAAAAGCAGAAGGGAGGTACTGAGTTAAAATTTATAAATTATTATCAAATAAATCTTCAACAATGGTTCAGTCCAAGGTCAATCATCATCTTTCAAAATACCCTAAACTTTCCAGTCACCTTACTGAATTCAAAATATTAGATGACTCTTCCACCAAGCATCACTAAGAATGGAGTATAAATGCTACTTCTGTTCTTGATCTTTAATCAGTCTTTTAGAGTGTGTTGGGGTGGAAGAGTGCTCTATAGATCAATGAGTCTCAGCCATGCCCTTTAGGCTGTGATACTATGGTGGCAGTGAAATTGCTAACAGAGCTCAAGCTGAGGCTGAGTCTAAAAGACAACGAGGGACGTAAGTAAGGTAAAAGGCCAATGTGAGTCTGGTCCCTTATATCAAGGAAGAAATCGAATGTGCTCTTTTCTATAAGGAGGTTTTGTGAAACCTGTGACACATGCAGGGAAGGTAGGAGACCCAAGTGACATCACCCAAACTTGGATAGTGGTTATCAGGCCAAATACTAGAGCACGGCAGTAGGGTTCAGCATACATGCAAAACACCTGAATATCCATAGCTCTGCCAGCCTGTGCAGATCCGAGATTCTTTCTTGAAAATTGAAATGTTAAGAACTGCTTGGCAGCATTTTGCAGAGATCATGAATATACAGGGAAATGGAGTTGGCAGATCTGGCATATGAAGGATATAAAGTGACATGATTTCTAGCCACAAGCTAAAGGGGGCTTTGGTCATTTGGGTTCCATTCCATCCACCTATTCAACAATTGAATCTTTACCAGTCATGCGCCCCGTGCACAGAGTCCTTCCTCTAGACCACTGAGAGGCCAAAATTCTTACCAGACTGCTTGTACTTCTGGATTTTTGTCTTCAGGTCTAATCTGTGGATGTTCTTTAGGCATTTTTCTAATAAATCCAGTTGATCTGGAGCAACCAGATTTCGTTTCTCCAACTCAACCACAAGGTCCAAGAAACTCTAATAGAACCACCAACAAAAAACAAATGTCAATAGAGCTAGCTAGGCCAGGTGCAATAGCTCATGCCTGTAATCCCAGCACTTTGGGAGGCTGAAGCAGGAAGATTGCTTGAGCCCAGGAGTTTGAGACCAGCCTGAGCAAAATAGCGAGACCCCCATCTCTACAGAAAATAAAAAAATAAGCTGGGTGTGGTGGCACACAACTGTGGTCCCAGCTACTCAGGAAGCAGAGGTGGAGGATCACTTGAGCCCAGGAGGTCAAGGCTGTAGTGAGCTGTGATTGTGCCATGGCACTCCAGCCTGGGCAGCAGAGCAATACCCTGTCTCAAAAAAACAAAAACAAAAAAACAAAACAAAAAAAAACCAGAGCTAATAAGCCCCAAATGTAAAACTCAGTCCACGTGATTTATAACAGTAAGAGAATGTGACAAGATGAGCCCTTTCAGTGACCTTCAGTGATCTTAAACCAGACATCTCAGTCATGAGCACCTTAGACTTGTGATTTTTACTCAGAACAGAGGTGGTGGTAAGTCTTTTGGTCATCAAGCTGCTCCTTGGGTGCAGACAGACACGTGTGCCATGTTGTGTCATTGAAAAGGACCATAAAAGAGCAGGCCTGAAAACAGAACCCACCTGAGTTTATTATTTTCCAAAAGATCAGGCTGGTATTACAGTGAAAAACTCTAAGGACTTCTCCGAAAAAGGAAGAAAAAAGGTAGCTGGGGAAAGACTTTATGAGAAAAATCACATGATATAGTTTCAAAGTTCCCAAAATGTTTGAATCTATGCTGGACCTTCCAACTCATTCTGACTCAGGGGGTTATAGAGAAGTAAAATTACAACAAGGTTTGAGTGTTTTGCCATTCATTTACCTTGGGCCACAGGGATTATGAACAAACTATATTTCAGAAACAAGCATTGCTGTGGGGTTTATTTCCTTTGCATTTAACATTTGGTTACTGAAGTGCGATCTTTATTTTAGAAAACAATAATCATAATTTAAATATATATAAATGACGGAGAGACAATTACTAGGAGAAACCAAAAAGGGAGTTCCAGTTTCATTTCCCTTCCCATTTTGCATTTGATGGGACTTAAGAAACAAAACTACAATCATTAGGAACATAAGGAAATTCTCAAACAATGACTTATTTGAATTCTGAGGCAGGCACTGGCCTGCCTCCTTTGAGGACCTATTGTCATATTTTGGAAACAATAGGTTCTCAAACATTTCCTGGCCTGTTACTAGGTCAACATTACCATGTAGGGCCAACTGGAATGTTTTTGTTTTTTCCTTTGAGATGGAGTCTCGCTCTGTAACCCTGGCTGGAGTGCAGTGGCACAGTCTTGGCTTACTGCAACCTCTGCCTCCCAGGTTCAAGCAATTCTCCTGCCTCAGCCTCCCAAGTAGCTGGGATTACAGGCATGCACCACCAAGCCCGGTTAACTTCTGTATTTTTAGTAGAGATGGGGTTTCGCCATGTTGGCCAGGCTGATCTTGAACTCCTTAGTTCCAGTGATCTGTGCAGCTTGGACTCCCAAAGTACTGGGATTACAGGCATGTGCCACTGTGTCCAGTCAGGCCAACTGGAATTTAAATATTTTTCTTTTTCTTTTTTTGGGGACAGAGTCTTGCTTTGTTGTCCAGGTTGGAGTGCAATGCCACTATCTCAGCTCACTGCAACCTCTACCTCCTAGATTCAAGTGATTCTCCTGCCTCAGCCTCCTGAGTAACTGGGATTATGGGTGCCCACCACCATGCCCGGCTAATTTTTTGTATTTTTAGTAGAGATGGAGTTTCACCAGGTTAGCCAGGCTGGTCTCCAACTCCTGACCTCAGGTGATCCACCCACCTCGGGCTCCCAAAGTGCTGGGATTAGAGGTGTGAGCCACTGCACCCAGCCATGGATTTTAAATATTTTTCTAGCAATCACGACATCCCCAAGATCTTCACCACTACCTGGTTTTCAACTCCAAATCTCTATTTTTACCATTTCCCAGATCCATCAGTCATAAGAACCTCCCCCCACCCCACTTCTACATGCAGCCTAGACCCCACACTGACCTTGAGTCAGCTGAAGAGAAATAGATGGCAGTATGAGAGTGATACAATAGTGGACTAGCATCTCCTTCCTGTTTCTACCCAGCACAAGCAGATGGGATGTCCTTCCCACACCCCCGTGAAACCAGGGAGGGAAACACATATGAGCCAGGCCTATGAATTTTACAGAAATAAGGATAAAATCCAAGGATGAAAGAAACATCCAGGGCCACACCAGAAGATACTATCCTATTTCTTCTCAATTCACAAACCAATTCTCTTCTCATTAATGTTATCATTTAAAAACCACCTGAGATGTCTGACTCCCACTACAGTGGTTGCAGACTGCCTGCTTCCCTCTCTATATATCAAAAAAAAGCAGCTCCCATTTCTCATAAGCTCTTAGGACCATGAACCAAAAGAAGAAAACTCACCTTCTCCTTGTTTATCTTGCCTCGGCCCATATAATCCCTCATGAGGAAAATTAATGAGGACACATCAGATTTATCCAAATTCTCACCGATCTCTGCCATCAGCACTCTGCAAACCAAACAAGTTCATTTAGTTAATTCAGACATCAGTCCTAAGAACTCCAAGAGCCCATGCCTTCCCTATGCCAATAATTTATTCAAAGACTAGTTCTTGCCTCTAGGTGAATGTGTCCCTCTCTCATAAAACAGCAAGCCTAGATCACCCCAGGAAGAGATCTTAATAGGAGATAGTACCTCCTTTGCCAATTAACAGCTTCTGAAAACAGCTCAGTTAATGGAAGCTTCCCTAAAGAATCCCCTAGCCCCCACCAGAAGTTATAGTGAAATGACTTAAGAACCCAAATGACTAACATAAAGACAAATCGAATTCAAAGTAGCCTTATCATCTCTGTTTAACAAGCTCTCAGATGATGTTGATTCAAGGACCATACTTTGAATTGCAAAATGCTAAAGGAGCCTGGAGCTAAAGGAGCCTCATGCCTGTAATCCCAGCACTTTGGGAGGCCGAGGCAGGCGGATCACGAGGTTAAGACATCGAGACCATCTTGGCCAACATGGTGAAACCCTGTCTCTACTAAAAATACAGAAAAATTTAGCTGGGCATGGTAATGGGCACCTGTAGTCTCAGCTACTTGGGAGGCTGAGGCAGGAGAATCACTTGAACCCGGCAGGCGGAGGTCAGTGAGCCAAGACTGCACCACAGCACTCCAGCCTGGGCAACAGAGACTCCGTCTCCAAAAAAAAAAAAAAAAAAAAATGCTAAAGGGAAAAACACCTGGGATATCCCAGCCCACTTCTGAACTTAAAGGGTACAGGCATCCAGATCACAGGGATTCTGAACTTAGGTGTTTTTGCCTAGAAAGCTTCTCCTGACTCAGTGGTGGCTGAATCTACCACTATACTTTCCACCCCTCACCCCCCTCAGGAAGTAGACGTTGAGAACCAACAACCACAGTTTACTGGAGCTCCTAAGGACACCCTGTAGTTAGTATTGTTACCATGACATTGTCATCAAGGACATTTTCCCAGTTTCCTCAGATTTTTGAGGATGGTGGATTTTTCATACTGTCCTAGAGCTTACCAAAACATCTAGCACATGCCAATATACAAGGAAGCCCACTCGACCAGATGAATAAATGAATCTAGTGCTCACCTTGAATAGCCCCACCTCTCTTCCCAGAGGGCCTAAGAATCTCCACTCATCATAGCAAGGAAATGGGAAATGGAGTGATTGCCCTACTCTATTCACTGAAACCCAGTTGGCGCCTCCCAGAAAGTCTGAAGATTAGACATTCAAACTGATGGCTGGCCCAGGCGCAGTGGCTCATGCCTGTAATCCCAGCACTTTGGGAGGCCAAGGCAGGCGGATCATGAGGTCAGGAGTTCAAGACCAGCCTGACCAACACAGTGAAACTCTTGTTTCTACTAAAAATACAAAAATTAGCTGGGTGTGGTGGTGCATGCCTGTAATCCTAGCTACTCAGGAGGCTTAGGCGGGAGAATTGCTTGAAACCAGGAGGTGGAGGCTGTGGTTCCAAGATCGTGCCTGGGCGACAGAGCAAGACTCCATCTCAGTAAAATAAATAAATAAAACTAAAAACAAACAAACAAAAAAACTGATGGCTGAATAGGTGGAAGATAAAAAACAACAACAACAACAATAATAATCCCTTGTATCTGTAGAATGCTTCACAGTTTAAAAAGTACTTCACATAGTAAATTATCACAACTGATGCTCGCAACACCTTATAAAGTTGGGTATTATTATTTTTCACTTTACAAGTAGGAAAACAAAGGCCCAACAAGGTTAGTAATTGGCCCAACCTGCCTGACCCATAACTGGTAGATCTGAGGCTTGAAACAGGTCTTCCAGCTACAGTGAGCTATGATCACGCCACTGCACTCCAGCCTCCGTGACAGAGCAAAACCCTATCTCAAAAAAAAAAAAAAGAAAAGAAAAGAAACAGGCTTATACCAACTTCAAATCTCATATACTTTCCAAAGCCCACACTGCTTTCAGCTCTCTTTAGTATAGTTCTTGATAATATATATCATCTCCAAATAGACATTATCAACATAATAAAAGGCTGATGGTGGAGAGAAAAAACACCGGCTAGGCACAATGGCTCAGGCCTATAATCGCAGCACTTTGAGAGGCCAAGGAGCACAGATCACTTGAGGCTGGGAGTTCAAGACCAGCCTGGCCAATACAGCGAAACCCTGTTTCTACTAAAAATACAAAAATTAGCTGGGCATAGTGGCACACGCCTATAATCCCAGATACTCAGGAGGCTGAGGCAGGAGAATCACTTGAAACCCAGAGGCAGAGGTTACAGTGAGCCGAGATCGCACCACTGCACTCCAGTCTGGGCTACAGAGTGAGACTTCGTTTCAAGAAAAAAAAAGAAAAGAAAACATCAACTTAAGGTTACAAGTTATCTTCCTTTCTCAGTAGCTTCCCTGCCCCTCTGAACCTCTAAAGACAGTAACGTATGAGCAAGAGGAAGGAGCAACCCAAAGCTTGTCAGAACTAAAGAGGACTCCAATAGCCATTTCCTCTTTGAACTGAAGGGGCTTAGATTAGTTAACTGACGAGATTTTCAATTCAGGCTCTCCAGCAGCGAAGGAAGGCAGCCCACCCTGATAAACTTCCTTAGCAGGGGAAGGACCAATGGGGATTCAGAAAGGATGATGAGGTTTCTACAAAGGTAGGAAGATTACTGTCAGACTTGTTATTTCCTTTCTTTGTACCAGAAATTACCAAAGACTGACTTCACAGAAAATTAACTAGCAAACACCACTGCAGATCTCCCTCTTTTTTTTTTTTTTTGAAACCGAATCACACTCTGTCACCCAAGCTGGAGTACAGCGGCGCAATCTCAGCTCACTGCAACCTCCACCTCCTGGGTTCAAGCAATTCCCCTGCCTCAGCCTCCCGAGTAGCTGGGATTACAGGCACATGACACCACACCCGGCTAATTATTTTTGTATTTTTAGTAGAGACAGGGTTTCAACATGTTGGCCAGACTGGTCTTGAACTCAGGTAATCCTTATGCCTCGGCCTCCCAAAGTGTTGGGATTACAGGCGTGAGCCACTGCGCCTGGTCTGCAGATCTCACACTGTCAGAGGCTGGCAAGAATGACCAGCTTTTAATCGTTCCTATCCTTCTTCATGTCTTGTCATTCTGTCCTTCAGGCAAACACATATCATCTGTCCTGTCCCTTCTACCTGCATATGATCCCAATTCCTTTGAGAAAGCATGTTTCAGTTGGGGGCAGTGGCTCATGCCTATAATCCCAGCTTTTTGGGAAGCCAAGGCAGCTGGATCACTTGAGGTCAGGAGTTCAAGATCAGCCTGGCCAATACGGTGAAACCCTGTCTCTACTAAAAATACACACACACACACACACACACACACACACACACAGACAGCCTGATGTGGTGGCATGCACCTGTAGTCCCAGCTACTTGGGAGGCTGAGGCAGGAGAATCGCCTGAACCTGGGAGGCAGGGGTTGCAGTGTGCCAAGACGCACCACTGCACTCAAGCCTGGGCAACAGATGTCTCACGAAAAAAAAACAAGAAAGCAAGTTTCAAGAATGTAAAGCGTTCACAGGAATGAAGTGACATCATCTGGCAGTTGGATAAGTGGGCAGAGAAATTAAAGTGGCTGCACTTCTTATTGTTCTCATTTCTGCCATTCAGTAAAGTCTGAGATACTTCACTTCACTCCCTCCCACCCATCCAGCCTCAGGAAGAGTTGATGAATTAATTACCTGTAGTCCGAAACAAGGTGAGGGTGCCTGAGCAGGTGGTCCTCCACGGCTTTTCTGTCCATTTTCAAGATCCGCTTGAGCAGGTCGAATCGCCTCACTCTGTAGAGCAGTTCAGCCAAGCTCACGAGAGAGAGCTTACCTCTTTCACGTAAAATATCCAGAAGGTCCCTGACATTAGGTGGAACCACATCTATAGCAACATCCCGGCACAAAAAGAGCAGCATCTCCTTCTCATCTGTGTCAAGTGCTTCTTCAACCTGATGGATGACCTCTGCAGACATCCTACTTTTAGGATGGGAAAGCTCACAAGGGTCTACAGGAGTACAGCTCCAGGCCAGTCAACAGAAAGCCAGGAGGTAGTCAACTTCATTTCTGAGGGATGACTTCATTTCTTTCAGAATCCTTTCCAGTGGAGGAGGTCTGTGGTTAAAAGGGAATTTTTTTGAAAATTTTATCAAGCTAACTTATGCCTAACATTGAAAGTACAGGTTCTTCTTTTCTTGCTGGTCTCCCTGACCTAAGTAGATTAAGGTCACATCGTTAAATCTATATTAAGGGATCCTTGGTAGACAGAGCTAAACACTCAGACTAATCCAAAAACCATAAGATAGAGAAGAAAACCTACATTGTAAAGGAAATGAAGCAATATATGAAATCATCTCAAAGGAAACCCCACACGCTTTTTTCAGAATTCATCAGGTGGTAAAGCACGTTACAGAAAAAATTAAACTAAGAGGTTTACTTAGTTGTAAACTAAGGAGGAAAAGGGAAAAGCCCAATGACTACAGGCTGACTAAACCAGGGAAACTTGTGTCACAGGGTTAAACTTCCGCTTCAATGACTCCACCCACGTGGCCTTTAACAAACAATGGAGAAAAGAAGTTTCTGTCCCTGTGCCACTCCTTTGTTTCTAGTTGCTCTTCTACTTCAAAAGCCCTTCACTCACACCTGGAAGCAGAAACTTCTGCTACCATCCTCCTAGACTCCAAGCCCCTTTCACAACTTCATCATGAATGCTCACAGGACCTGCCACCAAGTTGTCAGGTTTGGATCACATCTTCAGACCCTGAGCCCCATGGAGGTGCCAGAGGACCTGACTCTCAATGCACTGCTACATGGCAGCAACTGCCATCAGTGCTTCTGATGTTCTCAGTGGAACATCAGAAGTTACAGAGGATCTGGGGGAAGGTCTCACTCCTGGGATGGGGCTGGGTGAGAGGGGCAAGGAGCTCATGCCATGGGTGTGTTCTTATTTTTAAAAACTAATTTATTCATCTTTTTTATTTTCTCCATTTTTCAGTACAACATGGGTGTTTTAACTCTTTCCATTGGAACTCATATTTTTTTTCAAAATTTAAGTTGCTAACCTATCTAAATTTCATAGCTAAAAATTACATTAAATCAGCTCTTGTGTTCTTTATCTGTTCCTACAAGACAATATTTCAAGTTACAATCAAATTTATTAACAAAAATAAGTGGAAATACTCCCCAACCCTAAATTGCTAATGGTTGCTTTGTATTTGTATACAAATATATTTATGTATTTATCTAGCTGTATTTAGTGAAAGAAGTACTGAATCCATTTATTTATTTACATACAATATCAGTCCACAAAAGATTTGAGGTATCGTAAAATAAAAACACATAAATAGAAAAGTTTTATATGAGAACAAGGGGAAAAAATTAGGTTAGAAATTTGAAATGGGTGTGCCCATTCATTCAAACTTCACTTAAACATGACTATTTGTAAATAACTGGAGAAATTAAATTTGCTAAGTCAAATATACTAAAATTAAATTTGCTCAATGAAAGTGGAAAAACCAGTGCTCAGACTATTTTACATTTTTTTAAATCAGAAAGATAAATGCTACTTTTATGTGTTCTGGAAAGCCCAAATCTATACTCGCAAGCCAGCAGTGCTTTAATCTCACCATCAGCTTCCATGAAAAGGAGGTCAAGATAATTTCTATTATATTCACTAGTGGTCACAATTTTGTCAACAGTTGTTATTATAAATTAAACTATAAAATATTTACATACACAGGCTGGGCGCGGTGGCTCACTCCTGTAATCCCGGCACTTTGGGAGGCCGGGGCAGGAGGATCACAAGGTCAAGATATCGAGATCAACCTGGCCAACATGGTGAAACCCCATTTCTACTAAAAATACAAAACTTAGCTGGGCGTGGTGGCGTGCATCTGTAATCGCAGCTATTCAGGAGGCTGAGGCAGGAGAATCACTTGAATCCAGGAGGCAGAGGTTGCAGTGAGCTGAGACGGCACCATTGCACTCCAGCCTGGCAAGAGAGCGAGACTCCATCTCAAAATAAATAAATAAATATTTATTTTTCTTTTCTTTCTTTCTTTTTTTTTTTAAGACAGGGTTTCACCATGTTGGTCAGGCTGGTCTTGAGCTCCTAACCTCAGGTTATCTGCCCGCCTTGGCCTCCAAAGTGCTTGGATTACAGGCATGAGCCGCCAATAAATAAATATTTTAAAAGTATATACGCTGAAGGGATAAAATAGACCCAAAAATAAAATCATTAAACACAAGAGTAAGAAATGAGATATTATACAAATTCACTAACATGTTTGAAAAAGAACAAAACAGAACTACTAGAAATGAAATGCTTAATTCTCTATTTTTACAGTCATCCAACTTTTGTAATTCCTAAATATCAACAATATGCCAAGAGTTAACAAAATTAGATAATCATTTAAAAAAACATTATCTAAGTTTTTTCTTCCAACCATCACACCCATGACTGCTTTCTGCCAGTCACGCACACTCAGCAAGAGCACTGGCATACTGTCTTCCCTCTGTGCTAATGGGGGAAGAGTTTGGCAGCAAATTCTAGATTACTCAGTGGTAGCATCTGGCACACTGAGAGAAAATATCAAAAGGAAACTACAGATCCCGTGTGGAGCCAGCCCACTCAGATGCAACAAAATATCTGTGTGTGTGTGTGTGTGTGTGCGCACGCGCACACGCGCGCACTGGGGTGGTGTTGGGGGCAGTACACTGGCTAGAGTGGTGGGCATTTGAGAAAGGAAAGTATACTAGGGAGAGGTAGGGCTGGGGTCCAAATCATCATTACTTTATTGGGGTTTCTTTTAAGCCTAAGCCAAATTACTCTTAGACTAGGGAAGCTCATAAGGTCTTCAGTTTTTTGCAAAAAAAAAAAAAAGAGTCCTACTGTGTTGCTCAGGCTGGTCTCAAACTCCTGGACTCAAGTGATTCTCCTGCCTCAGCCTCCCAAAATGCTGAGATTACAGGTGTGAGCCACCACACCCAGATGAATGTGTTCTTTAGAGCCCAGTAAAAGGGCTTGTGCTCAGTTTCCAACCACACCCTGCCTGAGATGCCGGACTCAGTGTCCCATTCACTTCGTCTGAAGAGTCACCTGCCTTCACCTTACTCAGATGAAGGGCTAAGGAATACCCAAGCCCAATTATTTTTCTTCCCTGCTTTCAAATATCCAATCCTCCTGACTGATCAAGATTCCATTAATTTCATTTCTCCCTCTGGTGTTTTCAGCAGTTCAGTTTCCCTAGCCAGACAAAATTGGCACCTATGTACGTTTTCAAGAATTTTAAAGGAATTCCCCTTAACTCCCCTCACAGGCATATTCTAATTTAATGACTGTATCTCCCCTTCTTTCCACACCCACACCCTGGTACAGACTGTCCCTGATCTTCACAACAACAACAACGAAAACCTGAGACCAATTTCTGTTTCATTTCTCTTGCCGAAGTCATGAGACCATTGCCAATTATTATTCAAAATGCCAACAAAGCTTAGGCAAGTCAGAGTTATCTTTCACACACTAACTAACAGGAGCATCCAGTTCTGGAAACAGAAATACTCCAGGCATTTTTTGTAGAAATTACGCTTAATACTGGTACTAACAAAACTGCTGGAAGGGCTGGAGGAAGGGGCCCTGGCAAAGACTCCTGGGGCTACTGCAACGACCTTGCCTCAGCCAGGAAAGTGAGGATCAGGAGGCTGCCACTAGAACTGAGCTCAAAGACCCTCTGACAGTGGAGACCCAGAGATCAGGAGGCACATGCTGCAAACTCTGGCCAGCACTTTCAGCTCTCGCCTTTTTGCCTCCTGGCTGCCAGCCCTGCAACATCTAGGGTTACCAAGTCCCAGGAAACCCCTCAGTCCCAGTAAAATGGGGATGGTTGATCACTTCAGCACCCCTGCCTCAGACAGAGTGAGCCTCCACTACTCCTACACCTCGAGTAGCAACTAGTTCTGAAGGAAGGGAAGAGATACCACAATCTTACCACCACACCCTGGTTTCCTGAGCTGGGCCCCTACTGGCTGCTGAGCAGTTTCATTTACAAAAAGACCCTGGTTAGCTCCTTTCCCACACCCTTCAAGGAGTGCTCCAACCTCCACCACTCTCTTCCATCCCAATACCACCCCCAGTGCCATTTCTCAGATGTGTATCAGGCACAAGCTCCTGCCAACTTCCACCTTTCCACTGCCCCAGCCGGTTCCTCCTGTCCCTCTGCTTGCCTATGGCTAAGCCTCCCTGCATGCCCTCCTGTCTCTTCTAAGCCCCTATGTCTACTCTCATCATTCTCTCGGCCTCCAGAGACGGCTACTCCCAGCTCGTAAAAATGTGCAAGTCTCTTCCATCTTAAAAAAATAAATAAAACCAAAACCCTCATAAAAGTCTGAGGGTCCCCTAGACCTCATCCTTTCACTTTATTCCCTTTCACATAAAGCAGGGACCTTGAGAAGGAACAGTCTGTACTCAGTGCTTCAGTTTGTTCACCCACAATTCACTCCTCAACATGCCTCCACCTGGATCTCCTCATCCCACCATCTCCTCTACACAGGGACACTCAGTCCTGAGCCATACTGGAATCTGAGGCAAAAGGGACAATCAGTAATACTGATGCTGTCTTTCTTTAAAATGTTGATATTTTGTTTATTACAGCTTTTTGACATTTATGTCTATTTTTTAAAATATTGCATTAAGTAATCCCAGCGCTTTGGGAGGCCGAGGCGGGTGGATCACAAGATCAAGAGATAGAGACCACCCTGGCCAATATGGTGAAACCCCTCTCTACTAAAATACAAAAATTAGCTGGGCATGGTGGTGCATGCCTGTAGTCCAGCTACCTGGGAGGCTGAGGCAGGAGAATTGCTTGAACCCAGGAGGCAGAGGTTGCAGTAAGCCAAGATCCCAACACTGCACTCCAGCCTGGTGCCTGGCAACAGAGTGAGACTCTGTCTCAAAAAAAAATTGCATTAAAATATTACCTATCTTGATTACTGACTTTTTGAGCACCCCCTTAAATGTACCCAAAGTGAGTGCCCCACTTGCCCCCACTAGTGTCCTAGCTGATGACATAGCTCTTGTTGAGTCCTGGTGACCTAGTTGCCACATCCAAAAGCTTAGAAGACCTCTTTCATCTGATTGCTAGACTCCAGCTGACACTGCTAATTAATCCCTCCTTGAAACTCTTCTCCCTTGGCTGAGCTCACACTGCTATATTCTACACAGACCCTCTCTAACTTCCTCCTACTCTTCAGCATTCTCTTTCTGCACCTGTACCTTAAGTGCTGGCATTCCCTACCATCCATCTCTCATCCAGACTCATTCCTTTGGCCTTTCTGTTCCCCCTGCTTCCGACCTTACGCTCTCCAAATCTACCTTCTATCTAAGTGAACTTTCTAAAGTTCATGCTGGAACTGGCCAGGGGCAGTGGTTCACACCTGTAGTCCAGCACTTGGGAGGACAAGTCGAGAGGATCACTTGAGGCCAGGAGTTCAAGACCAGCCTGGTCAACATGGCAAAACCCTGTCTCTACTAAAAATACAAAAACTAGCTGGGCATTGTGGCGCATGCTTGTAATTCCAGCTACTCGGGGGGCTGAGGCAGAAGAATCTCTTGAGCCTCGGAGGTGGAGATTGCAATGAGCCGAGATTTCACCACTGCGCTCCAGCCTGAGCAACAAGAGTGAAACTCCATCTTGAAAAACAAAACAAAACAAAACAAAATACCTCTATTAAAGCACTTAACACATCTCGCTGGTACCCAGCCTTAGCCCTAAACAGGTGTCAGCAAATCAGTTAGGTTTAGTCAGGCTTCTCAATCTTTCTCAGAGAACACAACACTGCCTCCAAACTATCTGGTATCAAAAGCACATAATGTTCCCTGTAATCAGTAGCAAAGCATCCAGCATGACCAGCTAAGCCACCCCAAAGATGTACTTAACATACCCTTCTTTGTACTGCTTCTCTATCTGAAGCAAGGTCATAGTATGGCATAAAGCATGTCATGTCCAATGAACCACGGCATGAATGCAAATGTCATTTCTTAGCAACCCACAAAAATGAGCGGCAATGGAGAAACCTGTCTTGCCAGCTGCAGAAATTAGCATGCATACCTGGGACTTTCAGGCGTCTGGGAAGCCCCAGTGGTGATATGAACATGAAACACTTCAAAGTGTCACCCAGAAGTTTCTAAAAGAAGAAGAGTTGCACAATTCTGGGTAAAGTAGAATGTGGCCATCTCACAGAAGTTTTGTACATTCTTCCCGAATGTAATTCACCTTCCTCCCCCATTGGTATGCAGAACCTATGGATGTTGGCTGTTTGTATAGCAATTCAGATAATATGATGACCCCATTTTTCCTGCTCCATCTGTAGGCATTTTAAACCTCAGATACTGCATGAAATGTCATTTTATGCCCCCTTCAAAATATTTAAAATAAGGATGTGTAATAATAAATCATCTTGTGGTCCCTGATTTCTGTAATACTGCAGCTACATACTCAAACATAGTCTAGAAGATCATGATCTAAGGTTAAAGCCTACATACATCCCAACTTGGGATGTTACCAACCACTATTACATATTACATTTACATTACATATTACATTATAGCTGATATTACATATCAGCTAAAAACATGCATTAAAAAGAAGGAGAATCACTTGAACCCAGGAGTCGGAGGTTGCAGTGAGCCAAGATCGCACCACCCTACTCCAGCCTGGTGACAGAATGAGACTCTGTCTAAAAAAAAAATCAAGACAAAACAAACAAAAAGAACCCATATCATAACTGCCCTACCCTGGCCCACAGGCTTCCTCCAGTCAGGCTGTCAGTTGCTCTTGTCTAAACTTGAAATCTGCCTTGACTTGAAGTTACCTGTGTAAGTAACTTTTCTGAGTCCTCCTCAACCATATTTTGGGGTTATGGGGACAAGAATGAAGTTTAGATCCATTTCTGTGTCCTCGGCACCCAGAACTCTGCCTGGCCCAGAGAAACTCAATAAATGTTGGTAGGATTATACTGAATTAAAGGCAAAGAGGCATTGCAGTCCATAAACATGAGTTTAATTAGCCCCTGGGGCTCTACAGGGAAGAAATAACCAGACTCGAAGGGTGTCCGAGTCCCCAGAGTCCACTCCTGGTATTTGAAAGAGCAACACGCCTCGGAGTGTTGTGAGTGCTCCAGAGACTCGACCTAGGGCCGCGAGGACTCAATCCTCTTCTGCCGGTATGGGGGACAGTGCCCAGATGTCCCAGGAGCCCAGAGCGACAACAGCCCAGGGGCGGGGGTCAGGCAGGATTCTCCGTCTACTCACGCCCGGGCAAGAAGCCGGCTCTTCCTACTGGATCTCCGCCGTTACCAACTCCCACCCTCGCCGGACAAGCTCAGACCTGCCGCTCCACAAAACTGGAATTGGAAATGCTCCAGATGGGACGAGGAACAGGGACAGAGATCAAATGCATCAACAGGTGGCCTCGCCGGAGGGAGTCCCAAAACTTCTGCCTGTGAGCGCCTTCGAACCTAATCCACGCCGCCCACCGGTGACACGTTATCACACAAGACTCAAATTCTCGAATCCTCTCTGCAGAATTCCCCGCCCCCGAGCAGCTGAAACTTGCACAGGGCCACACGCGTGTCTCTGGGTGGTCCAGGACTGAGTGGGCACCGCCGCTGCTCCCCCACCACCTACAGGGAGCTGCGGTAGGACCTCTGAGGCCCCAGGGGCCTAGGCAATTTCCGGTTCAGCTTCCTGGAAGCCCCTAACCAAGACTCAAAAAAATGCATGCTATCCTGCCCACCCAGGGTCGCGCAAGACTTTCGGAGGGAGGGGGAAACCCACGACCCTGCAAATGGTTTCACCTGGGAAACCGGTATAAGGAAGCAAGTAATAGGGCGTTAAAAGAAGGTCAAATGTCAGTTACAAACAGAAACGTAAAACAAAGTCGCTAATAGAAAGCCATTTTAACCAGGACACGTGACCCAAAAGCTGTAAGTAAAACAAGTATTAACAAAACAAGAAAATTTACGTAAAGCAAACAGTAAACATTCAAAATTCCCTTTTCAACCCAGTGTTTTTTGTTTAGATCTTGGAGTTGAGCCAAGTTTTTTTTTGTTCAACGAAACTTTTGTAAGGTTATTTAGGGGAACCACAAACCAAAAGGACCAAAACTCCGTTCCTCTTATCTGAAATCTCTATCTAAAGCAGGTCAAACCTTCTAGAGGCCCCTCTCCATTCTAGATTATCGCCGTTTGCCGTTGTCCTAAAAGCTTTACATACGCTATCGCCCTACTGGGTTCACCCGCTTAAAAACAAATTTAAAATGTCAACCAATTAAAATATTCGTAAAACTTCTGGCGTCCTTGAATTTACTTCCTGCTCCGTGGAGCCAAAAACTGATTCTGAATTTCAGTGTCCTTTGTTATTCTATTGTGTGGCACTGCTAATATTAAAAGAAAGTGGCCTTCTGTCCAAATCCGGACACCCTCAAGCAAGAACATCCTAAAGCCATTTTACATTTCCCAGTCCTTTAGAAGGGATGCCAGAGTGGCAGAAACAGGTTCATTTTATGGCTCTAAAAACTTCATCAGTCAAGCATTCTCAGCTTTTCCAAGGTAAGCTTTCCTTGCACTTGGGCAAAACAGACATTAAACTGCTCTGGAAAATAACCGCCCTGACCACACTACTGTGAAAATTCCCGCCCCGGCGCACTGGGTAAGGTCGAGCGCGCACACACGACCCTTCGGAAAGTCTACATTCCCAACAAGTTTTGAAAGGAAAACTGCCAATCTTCTCAACAGTTCATCCCAAGAACTGAACTCGTAAGATCATCTAAAGCAAAGTTTACACGACGCTGAGGATCCGCCACCAAAGCTCGCGAGTGGCCTCTGGGGCTGCGGCTGCAGGGGTGGCCAGAGTTGGCCAAGGGTTATTTCCGGTGCATCTGGTCCGTCGGCGTGTAGCTAGGACCTCAATGGCCCAGATCGCCTGTTTCTGGGAATCCGGGGCGCCACTGCGGGTAGCAGGGGTGACGGGGCTCCAAACGGGGCGGAAGCGGAAGCGGAAGCGGGGGCGTTCCGCCCAGCTCTGTGCCCGCAGTAAACAGACGAGATAATGAATCTATAAAAGTGACTCAGGCTGGCCGGGCGCGGGGCTCACGCCTGTAGTCCCAGCACTTTGAGAGGCGAAGGCCCGCGGATCACGAGGTCAGGAATTCGAGACCACCTTGGCCAACATAGTGAAACCTCGTCTCTACTAAAGATACAAAAAATTTGCCGGGTGTGGTAGCGCGCCAGGTACTCGAGGCGGGAGAATCGGTTGAACTCTGGAGGCGGAGGTTGCAGTGAGCCGAGATCGCGCCATTGCTCTCCAGCCTGGGCGACAGGGCGAGATTCCGTCTCAAAAAAAAAAAACCACCTCAGGCGGTTCCAGAAGGCACCCCCCACCCCCCATTCTCCTGGCCACTGCGAGAAACCACCTGCGGTTTCCTGGAGCGTGAGGCTGTGAGGAACTGCCAGGGGTGGGACGCGGGCGCCCGGGGCTGACGCAGAGCCAGGAGTCGGGGCTCCGGGTGTGGCGCTGGGTCGAGTGCGGGGCACGTACCGTCCTGTCGCGGCCGGACTCTCCTGCCGCTGCCACCTCAGCCTTCGCTCGGTCAGACTCTGGGCGGGCGCACGGAAGATGGAGGAAAGAAAACCGAAAGCCTGGAAGCGTACTTGGTGCTGCTGTGCGATCGCTGTTCGTTGCGCTTCCCTTCCACGTCCCATCCCTTCCGTGCCCCACCCCCTCCCGTGGTCCTTGGATAGCCCTGGACTTTGTCTCAGCTGTTACTGGACGAAAGTCCAATAGCCGGCACTCACTGTGTTAGACCGAGTCCCCACCCCTATCCCCGGGAGTCCTTTGGAGTCGTCGGTGAGGCCGCCAGCTCGCTGTTTCCTGCTGTGGCTTGTGTATTCAGTAATCATGGATGTCGACACAAATTCCACGCGTTAGGTGTAAACGCTGCGAGTGTTTATGATTGATGTCTGGGAGTCATAGCAAACTTGAACGTGCTTTGTAGTTTTTTTGTTTTTTGGTGTTTTTGGGTTTTGTTTTTTGGTGTGTGTGTGTGTGTGTGTGTGTGTGGTTTTCTTGTTTTTCTTCTTGAGACGGGGTCTCGCTCTAGCCCAGGCTAGAGGGCAGTGGAGCCATCACGGCACACTGCAGCCTCGACTTCCCTGGCTCAAGCCTTCCAGCGCTCAAGCCATCCCGCCCCCTCAGCCTCCCACAGGCGCAGGCCACCAAGCGCAGCTAATTTTTTTTTTTAGTATAGATGGAGTTTCACCATGTTGGCCAGGCTGGTCTCCAGCTCCGGACCTCAAGTGGTCCTCTCTCACGCCGGCCTCCCAAAGTGCTGGGATTACAGGCGTGAGCCACCGCGCCCCACTACGTTTTTATTTATTCATAATAACTACTTTATTGTGATTCTTAAAGAGCTTTAACTTTTCTTAAAATAATTTTAAACTTACAGGAAAGGTGATGAATAAAATACCAAGAGAAACTAACCCCAGGACGGCAGGAAGAGTTCGGGATTCACCCCTAGTGAAACTGAAAATTATTTAAAACAACAAACAACCATTGACCATTTAAAGCCTCTGAAATGGTCCTAAGGGCAAACAGCAAATGAAGAAACATCTGCTTTAAAAAATCTGTGAAAACTCTTGCATCAGAATGCCAGAGTCTATGGTATTTAAACCAAACCTCTCCCTTTGTTCAACAAGACAGACTCCACTCCAGACTGCTGCAACCAAGAACCTCTCTCTTCCCAGTAAGAGACCAGCATGTCAGAATTTCTCATCTTGCCCCTAACTACCTGATGCTGAAGCTAGATCCTGGGGGAGTGTGGTGGAGAGGTGGGAGATTCCTTCATCCATCCAGAGGCTCTACCTTGGGTGGAGTGCTGAGACACAAGAGGAGACTTAGCTCTTTTTCTCCATTACTCTCACACCATATTCACCCCCAACCTTTTTTTCCCCCACGAGAGTTATATTCCGATTTTGATTAATCTTCAGTACATATGCTATTATAATAATGTAAACGGTAGTCAAAGCCAAGTTATGTACCAAACTATAATTACTTTTCCTTTCCTACACAACTTTTAACTTTTTCTGGAGTTAATAATTGCCTTGTTTTGTTGGCTTTTCCGTGTAATTCCTAAACTCTTTATCAGTTATCCAAGTTTGGTTTCTGTTTGTTTTTGAGACAGGATCTCACTCCAGGCTAGAGTGCAGTGACCTGATGACAGCTCACTGAAGCCTCAACCTCCTGGGTTTAAGTGATCCTTCTGCCTCAGCCTCCTGAGTAGCTAGCACAACAGGTCTTAGCATGCCACCATGCCCAGCTACATGTGCCACTACAGGTGCCCCCATGCCAGCTAATTCTATTAAAAAAATTTTGTAGAAGCAGGGTTCATGGGTTGGGGGATTCTTGCTATGTTGCCCAGGTTGGTTTTGAACTTACCTCAAGTGATTTTCCTGCCTAGGTTTTTCTTTCTTTCTTTCTTTCTTTTTTTTTTTTTGCATTTTAGGTTTTGGGCTACATGTGAAGAGCATACAAGATTGTTGCATAGGTACACACATGGCAGTGTGATTTTCTGCCTTCCTCCCCATCACCTATATCATGCATTTCTCCCCATGCTATCTCTCCCCAACTCCCCACCCCCTGCTGTCCCTCCCCTATTTCCCCTCAACAGACCCCAGTGTGTGATGCTCCCCTCCCTTTGTCCATGTGTTCTCGTTGTTCAACACCCACCTATGGGTGAGAACATACGGTGTTTCATTTTCTGTTCCTGAGTCAGTTTGCTGAGAATGATAGTTTCCAGGTTCATCCATGTCCCTACAAAGGACACGAATTCATCATTTTTTATGGCTGCATGATATTCCATGGTGTATATGTGCCACGTTTCCCCTGTCTAGTCTATCATCGATGGGCATTTGGGTGGATTCCAGGTCTTTGCTATTGTAAACAATGCTGCAATGAACATTCATGTGCATATGTCCTTATAGTAGAACGATTTATAATCCTTTGGATATATACCCAGTAATGGGATTGCTGGGTCAAATGGAATTTCTATTTCTAGGTCCTTGAGGAATCGCCTCACTGTCTTCCACAATGGTTGAACTAATTTACACTCCCACCAGCAGTGTAAAAGTGTTCCTATTCCTCCACATCCTCTCCAGCATCTGTCATCTCCAGATTTTTTAATGATCGCCATTCTAACTGGTATGAGATGGTATCCCAATGTAGTTTTGATTTGCATTTCTCTAATGACCAGTGATGATGAGCATTTTTTCATATGTTTGTTGACCTCATGTATGTCTTCTTTTGTAAAGTATCTGTTCATATCCATCACCCACTTTTGAATGGGCTTGTTTGTTTTTTCTTGTAAATCTGTTTTAGTTCTTTGTAGATCTGGATATCAGCCTTTTGTCAGATGGGTAGATTGCAAAATTTTTTTTCCCATTCTGTTGGTTGCCGATTCACTCTAAGGACTGTTTTTTTTTGCTGTGCAGAAGCTGTGGAGTTTGCTTAGGTCTCATTTGTCTATTTTGGCTTTTGTTGCCAATGCTTTTGGTGTTTTGGTCATGAAGTCCTTGCCTACACCTATGTCCTGAATGGTTTTGCCTAGATTTTCTTCTAGGGTTTTGATGGTGTTAGGTCTTATGTTTAAATCTTTAATCCATCTGGAGTTAATTTTAGTGTAAGGTGTCAGGAAGGGGGCCAGTTTCTGCTTTCTGCACATGGCTAGCCAGTTTTCCCAACACCGTTTATTAAACAGGGAATCCTTTCCCCATTGCTTGTTTTTGTCAGGTTTGTCAAAGATTGGATGGTTGTAGATGTGTTTTGTTGCCTCTGAGGCCTCTGTTCTGTTCCATTGGCCTATAGCTCTGTTTTGGTACCAGTACCATGCTGTTTTAATTACTGTAGCCTTGTAGTATAGTTTGAAGTCTGGTAGTGTGATGCCTCCCTCTTTGTTCTTTTTGCTTAGAATTGACTTGGCTATGTGATTTCTCTTTTGGTTCCATATGAAGTTTAAGGTGGTCTTTTCCAGTTCTGTTAAGAAGGTTATTGGTAGCTTGATGGGGAAGGCGTTGAATTTGTAAATTACTTTGGACAGTACGCCATTTTCATGATATTGATTCTTCCTAACCATGACCATGGAATGTTTCTCCATCTGTTTGTGTCCTCTCTTATTTCGTTGAGCAGTGGTTCGTACTTCTTGAAGAGGTCCTTTACGTTCTTTGTTAATTGTATTCCTAGGTATTTTATTCTCTTTGTAGCAATTGTGAATGGCAATTCGTTATTGATTTGGCTCTCTTTAAGTCTGTTATTGGTTTATAGGACTGCTTATGATTTTTGCACATTGATTTTGTATCCTGGGACTTTGCTGAAGTTGCTTATCAGTTTCAGGAGATTTTGGGCTGAGACGATGGGGTCTTTTAGATATACAATCATGTCGTCTGCAAATAGAGACAATTTGACTTCCTCCTTTCCTATTTGAATACTCTTTATTTCTTTTTCTTGCCTGATTACTCTGGCTAGAACTTCTAGTACTGTATTGAATAGGAGTGGTAAGAGAGGGCATCCTTGTCTAGTGCCAGATTTCAAAAGGGAATGCTTCCAGTATTTGCCCATTTGGTATGATATTGGCTGTTGGTTTGTTGTAAATAGCTTTTATTATTTTGAGATATGTTCCATCAATACCTAGTTTATTGAGGGTTTTTAACATAAAGTGCTGTTGAATTTTGTCAAAGGCCTTCTCTGCATCAGTTGAGATAATCATGTGGTTTTTATCTTTGGTTCTGTTTATGTGGTGAATTATGTTTATAGACTTGCGTATGTTGAACCAGCCTTGCATCCCCAGGATGAAGCCTACTTGATCATGGTGGATAAGCTTTTTGATGTGCTGTTGCAATCGGTTTGCCAGTATTTTATTGAAGATTTTTGCATCTATGTTCATCATGGATATGGGCCTGAAGTTTTCTTTTCTTGCTGAGTCTCTGCCATATTTTGGTATCAGGATGATGTTGGTCTCATAAAGTGATTTGAGAAGGATTCCCTCTTTTTGTTGGTCTCATATAGTGATTTGGGAAGGATTGTTTGGAATAGTTTCAGAAGGAATGGTACCAGCTCCTCTTTGTATGTCTGGTAGAATTCAGCTGTGAACCCATCTGGACCTGGGCTTTTTTTGGGTGGTAGGCTCTTAATTGCTGCCTCAACTTTAGACCTTGTTATTGGTCTATTCAGGGTTTCGATTTCTTCCTGGTTTAGGCTTCGGAGGATGCAAATGTCCAGGGATTTATCCATTTCTTCTAGGTTTACTAGTTTATGTGCATAGAGTTGTTTGTAATAATCTCTGGTGATGGTTTGAATTTCTGTGGAATCTGTGGTGATATCCCCTTTATCGTTTTTTATTACATCTGTTTGATTATTCTCTCTTTTCTTTTTTATTAATCTGGCTAGTGGTTTATTTTGTTGATCTTTTCAAAAAACCAGCTCCTGGATTTATTGATTTTCTGAAGGGTTTTTTGTGTCTCCATCTCCTTCAGTTCTGCTCTGATCTTATTTATTTCTTGTCTTCTGCTAGGTTTTGAGTTTTTTTGATCTTGCTCCTCTAGCTCTTTCAATTTTGACGATAGGGTGTCGATTTTAGATCTCTCCTTGCTTCTCATGTGGGCATTTATTGCTATATATTTTCCTCTAGAGACTGCTTTAAATGTGTCCCAGAGATTCTGGTAGGTTGTGTCTTCGTTCTCGTTGGTTTCGAAGAACATCTTTATTTCTGCCTTCATTTTGTTGTTTATCCAGTCAACATTCAAGAGCCAGTTGTTCAGTTTCCATGAAGCTGTGCGGTTCTGAGTTAGTTTCTGAATTCTGAGTTCTAACTTGATTGCACTGAGGTCTGAGAGATTGTTTGTTATGATTTCCATTCTTTTGTATTTGCTGAGGAGTGATTTACTTCCAATTATATGGTCAGTTTTAGAGAAGGTGTAATGTGGTGCTGAGAAGAATGTTTATTCTGTGGATTTTGAGTGGGGAGTTCTGTAAATGTCTATTAGGTTTGCTTGGTCCAGGCCTGAGGATCAAGTCCGGGATATCCTTGTTAATTTTCTGTCTCATTGATCTATCTAATATTGACAATGGTGTGTTAAAGTCTCCCACTATTATTGTGTGGGAGTCTAGGTCTCTTTCTAACTCATTAAGAACTTGCCTTATGTATCTGGGTGCTCCTATATTGGGTGCGTATATATTTAGGATCGTTAGCTCTTCTTGTTGCACTGATCCTTTTACCATTGTGTAATGTCCTTTGTCTTTTTTGATCTTTGTTGCTTTAAAGTCTATTTTATCAGAGACTGGTAAATTGCAACTCCTGCTTTTTTTTGCTCTCCATTTGCTTGGTAAATCTTCCTCCATCCCTTTATTTTGAACCTTTGTGTATTCTTGCATGTGAGATGGGTTTCCTGAATACAGCACACCGATGGGTTTTGGCTTTTTATCCAATTTGCCAGTCTGTGTCTTTTGATTGGGGCATTTAGCCCATTTACATTTAGGGTTTATATTATTATGTGTGAACTTGATCCTGCCATTTTGATGCTAGCTGGCTGTTTTGCCTGTTAGTTGATGCAGTTTCTTCACTGTGTTGATGCTCTTTATTATTTGGTATGTTTTTGGAGTGGCTGGTATTGGTTGTTCCTTTCTACATTTGGTGCCTTTTTCAGGAGCTCTTGTAAAGCAGGCCTGGTGATGATGAAATCTCTGAGTACTTGC